TAGAGTCTATCTCTAATCTTTTTCTACTGAATTTGATGTCATTGAAATAAACAAATGACTTATCATTGGATAATGTTTGATAGATTTGAATAGAAACATATTTAATAACAGACCCACATCGTGGGTCAAAGGCGTTATTTCTAATATTAACACATGTCTCTGTGTTATTAGTTACACCATTAACAACAAGTCCTGTATCTGGTGACTCATCATCCCTAAATTCATGTGGGTACATTCTCACTTTAAATTTCAACCTAGAGTCTTCTGATGTCCAAAATACAGTCCAACACAATTGGTCTAACTCTACTGTGTTAGCATATCCATTAAATTTAAGAGTATCAAAACGTTGTACCTCTCCTCCAAGCCAATATGTTCCATTAATTTCATAATCATAATAATCAATTAATGCAGAATCGTTTAATTCCCATCCACGTTCCTTATTAGCATAAACAATTTCTCCAGCTAAACTTTTTGCGATTAAAATTACAAATAATACATACATTTTCTTCTTATTTTGAATGTTTCTCTTCTTGTTCTTTGGGTTTTAAATACTTTCTTTTTTCGTTTTGACACAACTGATTGAATGATTTTTTTCTATCTTATATAGCAAAACGTATCTTATAACAACTAAACAATAAAAATTAACCATTATATAAACAATCAATCAATTATTATTTATTCTTTCTTCAAATGCTAATTCTACTTCGGATGGATTAGAATAACTTGCATTCATACGTGATTTTATTTTTTGAGAAAGTTTGAAGTCATTTGAATTTCTACATAATAATAAATATTCAAGCCATAAATTCATTGAGTGATAAGCAAGGTTTTCATGAACTAATGCCTCATCAAATACTTTTTTAGCTTTTTCAATTTCTTCTTGAGAAATAAAGTAATGAATTATCTTCAAATAACATTCTTCATCACAAGTAGTTTTTAACACCCATTCAATGAATGTGTTTAACTCATTTATATTTGTTTTCATAACAGTGTCAATACAATAAATTTTAAGTTTGCTTAAATACTCTCTATTAATGTTTAATATTTCTTTTTTCATTGCCTCAATTTGATCTTCAACTTGTACCTTTTCAATTCTTTCAATAGCATAATCAATGGGTGTTTTAATAACTTCCATCACACCATTGATTTTATTTTTTATTTTATTCTTTTTTTCTTCAGATACTTCTTTAAATACATCATTATCAATCAAATCTAAAGCTTCTTGTTTATTTAATGGAGATAATGTATCACATAATACTTCTAAAATTACTTCTTTTGGTTGTTTTTCTTCCATTAAGAATATCATGAAGAATTTGTTTCT